GTTTAGATTAGTTGGAAGTTTACGTAACATGTACGTATATAGTACTACGTGCTATGTACGTAGTACATGTTACAGAGGTTTTGGCAGAGAAAGGTCCTGTTTGGTTCAGCTTTTATCGACGGATTCCGCTGCCGTGCAGCAGAATCTGAACCAAAGGGCGAACCCAGCAGAATCCGATTCCAGAAATCTGCTGCCAAAATCTGAACCAAAAACGGAAGCAGCCTAGGACGTGCTTTCCAAAATCTGATTCCGCTGCGGGCCAAAATCTGAAAAAGTTGTATCAGCTGGTTTGCCAAATGACCTACATCTTTTTCACATCAGATTTTTCACAGCTATTTTTCCACAACAGATTTTTCACAGCTGCTTTTAGAAATCCACAGTCGAACCAAACAGGGCCTAGCGTCACTGAAACAGGATAGGGCAAAGACGGCGTCAGAATCAACTGATAAAACAGGATAGGTAATGCGTCCTCATATAATTTCAGAAAGAGCATCTTCTCTACTGTAAGAAATCAAACAACTTGATCTTGCTAGCTAATTTGCAGATGTCTTGTACAATCTTGCGTGCCCTTAACCAAAATGAACTGAATTTCATATGCGGGGGAATATGAGAGTGTTTTTTTTCCTCTAGTAGGTGTTTTAAATCTGCAATTACAAAATCGGCTAAAACCCAGGAGATTTATGTAACCAACAAGCGGTCGGGCCACGTGTAAGTATTTTTTCTAATGGTGAAAGAGGGGCCTCCCCCCTCGATTTTCATTGTACAAACCTGTTGAAAGGGAGAGAGAGGATTGGTGGAATAGTTCGTTATATTGCTTGAGCCTCGTGGGCATATATATAGGAGTACAATCATCTACTTGGAGTACAAGACAAGCCAGAATCAAATCCTAGTCTATCTCATCTTTCCTAATAAACATTATACTCAACATCCACCGCAGTCACAACGGTAGCGACGCAGACAATGAGACTGGAGAAGAATGCGAAGGCAAGCCAACGGACCCCCCCCCCCACACACACACACAGTTGTAACGGTCGACGCATCGCGGAGTCGTAGCTGGAGTGGAAACCAACGAGGTTGCTCAAGCAGGCGGTAGCCCTTTGTGCCGTTTGTCGATGTAGCCGAGAGCGTGGGTGGTGGAGCCGTGGTCGAGGTAGCCGTGCGAAGAATGCCTTGGTTGATGTCGAGTCGGGGTGGCCGGTGTCGAGGAAGTCGCCGTGGAGCCGCGGGTGCAAGAGGGCACCGAGTTAGCATGGGGCGCAGTGGTGTTGAAGTAGGGGTGCGCCGGGAAGAAAAATGTTGTTGACGACGCGTCGCGGCGGGTTTACCAAGCCCGGGGACACATCTGGACGAAGGCATGCACCGGTGTTGCCAGCACCGGTCATGCGTAGACGGACGAAAACGAAGTTGACGAAGCGCCGACTAGGCTTGCCAGGCCCGGGGACACGTCGTGGATGAAGGCACGCATCGGTGTTGCCAGCATCGGGCATGCGTAGACGAGGGACCAGCAGGAGCTGTACGCCATGTCGGAGAAGTCAGATGGACCAGCAGAGAAGAACTCGACGACGATTGTGGCGTCAGTCAGCGCAGGGCCGATGTCACCAACGGTGGTCGGAGTAGACGAAGTGGTCGGGGTAGATGACGGCGACGCTGGCGACGGCTGGTGCTTGGATGAAGACGAAGGGGGTGGACGGGCGGCGGCGGCTAGGTTAGGAGTGAGGCGGCGGTGCTCGAAGTAGGCGAAGAACCCTGACAGCATGACGAAGACCGGCGCGGACGGTGGCGTTCCCGCGCCAAGGGAGACGGCGCGGTGCATACCACGGGAGGTCGACACACGGTGACGGCGGAGTGGACCGTGGACCGCGGCGCTAGGGCCCGAAGGGGTGACGCAGCGGCGGTGGGCAGGTCGGGGCGACAACGGGAAGACCTCAGGGCGGTGGCAGAGACCGCGGGCCGCGGTGCGACAGCCCAAAGGGGCGGCGCGGCGGAGGAGTGCGGGCCGGTGCAACCGCGGGGACGGCCTCGGGACGGCTGCGTGGACCGTGTGCCACGCTCGCTACGGCCCGACGGGGCGACGCAGCGACGACGCGAGGGTCGGTGCGGCCACGGGGACGACCAGGAGCGGACGACGTCGGGACGGCGGTGGAGCGGGTCGCGGCACTACGGCCCGAAGGGGCGACGCAGCGGTGACGCGGGTCGGTGCAGCCGGGAGAAGAACCACGGGGCGGCGACGCTGCGGCCCGACGGGGCGATGCAACGGCAGCCCGTTGCTCGATCGGTGGAGGGACGCACTGAATTCGGGGACGATCTTCATGGGACCTGCGGAGGCGCGCGCAACCGACAGGCCAGGTCGGTCGCACGGCGTAGATGAGGCGGATCGTGGCGGCGGGCGGGTGATCAATCCGATCGCGCGCGAGGTCGAGGACGCCGCTCTGTGGAGACGGGGTGGCGGCGGAGTCCGAGATGAAGCAGGCGACGGCGGGCGACAGGGCGGTTATGATTGGCCGCCGCATGGCGCGAGGCCGCCGGGTCGGGTGATGCAGGAGTCCCGATCGAAGCAGGGCGGTGACGGCCGACGCAGGGCGACGGGCGGACCGACGCGCAGTCGACGGCTGGCCCTGACGGCCGCCTCGGCGCGCGTGGCCGCCAGGTCGAAGGAGAGGCCGGCGGGTCGTGTCGGGGTCGGAGTAGAGGCGCTCGGGGTCGACGGCGGCGGTGGGCGACGCAAACTGATCAAGATTAGATCGGAAAACAAAAAGAAACCACGCGATCAAGATGACCGGTGGGAGAGAGAAAACCCCGGAGCAAGGCTCGGGGAAAAGACTCTCTAGGGCAGCCGGTCAACACGACCGGCGGACGAACCCTAGGTACAGGTGGCGCGGCCCCCGGCGGCGGTCATGGAGGCCGACCGCCCCGGGGGCGGCGCGCAGGTGCGGAAGCGACGGTGGCGGCTAGAGTTTAGGATCGACTTGCGATAGATATCATGTTGAAAGGGAGAGAGAGGATTGGTGGAATAGTTCGTTATATTGCTTGAGCCTCGTGGGCATATATATAGAAGTACAATCATCTACTTGGAGTACAAGACAAGCCAGAATCAAATCATAGTCTATCTCATCTTTCCTAATAAACATTATACTCAACAAAATCAAATGATTCGAACCCTAGAACAAACTACGTGCTTAGGGCAACTCTAACAGATCCCCTATAATTCAAAGATACGGCGGAGTATCCTTCAGAGGAGTATATTTGCTCCTCTAAAAAAAGTGTCATTTCTAACCGATTTCGTAAACTTAACGGAGTAATTATTTATTTATTTATTTTTGCCAAACTTGTTTAAATTTGGGCCATCAAAATTAAGTTCACTACTAAATTATTTTATCAAACGACATCTTGGTCACATAATTAATCAGTTCTTTGTTAAGAGAATTGATCCAAAGAAACTATTAAAAATTACACACTTCAATAGAAACACTACTTCCCTGACTGCTCCTACTAGCCCAATTAATGTTTTCTCTATATCTTCATTGCCTACTTGTTGGGGCTTCCCGAGCTTGCACATTTCTTCCTTCTCTGCTCCTCAAAAAAATGTTCATGTATTTGAAAAGTGTCATGAATTAATGTTCATGAATTTTAAAAATGATGTTTGCAAAATGAAAATGGAAAAGAAAATTAAAACAAAAGGAAGCAAAAAATTCACGAATTTAAAAGATTACCGTATATTGAATAAATAAGAATAAAAATGAAAACAGAAAAAAGAAAAGAAAAAACGAAAGAAAAAACCGAAAGAAAGAAAAAACCCAGAAAAAGCCGGTTCAGGGAAGGATCTAGAACCTTCCCAAAACCGGTTGGGGTTGAATCCTGAAAATGCGCCGGCCCATAAAAACTCCAGCGCTCGAGGAGGGGAGGGGCACGCGCTATTGTGGATAGCGAGCGAACTACGCATCGTATAGGGATTGCCCTCACCAGTGCCTCTGGTAGTGGCCTACTCGGGCTAAGACTTGCGAGTCCACATCTCGCTTCACCATGTACCTCACCCTCAAGCGCCATAACACCGTTTCTCACTGAACTCAGAGGCGGAGCCAGGATTTGGGTGTGGGGAGGGGGGGGGGGGCAAGCCAAGTAGACAGCAAAAAAATCCAGTGCAAAGGATAATTATAAAGAACAAGGTTGAGAACTTGCACATGAGTCTCATTAACAATTTCAGTATGTCTAGAATTCGAAGAAACCAGCTTATAAGACGAATTAATTTTAATGGTGTTTGGCATTGTTTTTTCTCTTCACAATTGACGAATTTTAGGTTTATAAGTAAGCAACTTAAAAAGAATTAATCTTAATGGTGTTTGGCAACACTTTTTCTATTC